TTACTATTCATATATACCTAGCGCGATGACATTTTATGTCTATTTCAATCCTGTAAAAGCGTTTTTAAATCCGTTCAATCGTTTCGGTGTTATCCATTAGAATGCAAATGTCGGTAATTCTCGACCTTTCAGCATCCTCTTAAGTTCCTTGACTAAAACAGAACCAACGAATCGCGCTGGCTTGAGATCGAGTAACATCGTTCCTTCAGGACGTTGACTTGTCTGTCAAGCTCGATTAAAGCGCCTTCGACTCGCACATATGCTACCGCGTCTATTTGCGAGACAGGCTATCTGGTTACGTCCTTCCGTATCCCCTTCCTACTCTCGAATCCAGTCTTGTTTCTAAACGGGACTCTCTTTGAGTTTTTCCTTTCTTTAAAGATAAATCATTTCCCGGGGATTGGACGTAACAAATGTAATACAATGTAAAAATATGTATTTATGTTTTTTACTTTGTATTATTTTTACATCGTATTACATTGTATATATGTATGTATTTAATACATACATATAATGTAATACAATGTAAAAATAGTACAAAGTCAAAAACATAAATACATATGATATTAAAACTCATCATTATTTCAATAATAACAAAATGATATTAAAACTCATTTCTTAATGAAACAAAATGCAGTTACATTTTAGGTATGTACATTGGCACTGGAGAAATATTCAAATGCAAATATGACAACTCATTTTTCAAAAATACAATAACTTACTATAATAATGATGAAAATGAAGATTATAGATATTCCAATTTTGTCCTGGATCCATTCTTGACATAACCAATCGAGTGGCTTTAAGTTTATTTTTTTTAGATGGATATTTACTCTTAGTATTATTATCAAATAGCTATTTAGAAGGAATTACTTCTACTATTGTCCGAGATTCATCACATGAATTATCAAATTCCACAACTGCAAACTAAAAAGAAGACAAAACGTTATAAGATAATATAATTTGTAGAATTAAATAAAAAAATAGAATTTATTCTTACTGATATTTTAGTGACTGATGTTGCAATGTATGAGAGGAATGCATACAAATGCTTCATCATTATCAGGAAAAAAAACACATTTACAAAAAAAATATTTAATTTTATAAGATATTATCGCGGTTCTGTGATTTTATAAACGAGAAACTTTTAAAATGCCAAGTTGAGAAGACGCGATAGAATAATTATAATAATCTTCTTCGCCCGAACAGAGACCTGCACCCTGAGACACCAATTCGTCTACGCATCCACTCATGAAGAGCTGGATATACCAGTCCGGTCCCGAACCTACTCCTGTTGAGACCGTTCCTCCTGCGAAGAGAATCAGGGCGCCTGATTTCTTCACGTTCCTTCCGAAGAGAGTCAGGGCGCCTGACTTCTTCACGTTTCTTGCGAACAGAGTCAGGGCGCTTGAATTCTTCACATTTTTTGCGAGAAGAGCCAGGGCGCCTGGCTTCCTTGCGTCCCCTGCGAAGAGGGTCAGGGCGCCTG